ATATATATATATAAAAGATCTATTGAATATTTTCATGTTTCTATCTTTTTGTTAGGATTTCAAATTTTGATTGGATCTTACCATTACCATTTTACAGAATGAAAACAATAGATAAAAAATGAAAATTTGATTTTGACAACTTTATATATAATTCATATAAAATTGAAAACTATTACTTTATATTTGATATTTGATATAATAACTGTAGTTTATATTTATTTTGTTTTGTTATTAATATGTGTATTTATTAATATTTATAGATAGACACTTTATATAAATATTTTTATATATATTTTTATTGATTTGTTAAATTTATAACTTAATAGATAATTAAAATATAAGTCAAGATTTTCTTCTATACTGACAAAAATAATATTCACATATATTTGGTAAACATTTTATTTGTACGAGTTAACTTAAAAATAGAATGTTTGTTCATGATAACATAATAATATTAAAAAGAGGAACATATAAAATGATCATTTATAAAAGTTGTATCTTAAATTTATTAATAAAATATATATATAATAATTATCATAATATTTCTTATTTCAAAACCATTTAGAAAATATTGTTTCACAAACCTTTAAGGTTTATACCTTTTTATTTGTCTTTGTTTTTTTTTCTTAATTTTTCCAATTTTATATTTCATTGTATAACATTATTATCTGTTCAATTTTATATTTCATTGTATAACATTATTATCTGTTCAATTTTATATTTCATTATATAACATTATTATTTTATTATAATTTATACATAAATATCGGTCGTGTTTGTTAGATATATAGATATATATATATATATATTATATATATATATCTATATATATCTTATATATATATATATATATATCTTCAAACCTTTTTATAAGTTAATTTGAATTAATCATTATAAAGTTACAAACTTACAAACAAAACATCTAACTTTGTAAATAATAATTGTGTTGCCGATCTATGATTAATGATTATAATTTTAAAATATCAATGCTGTTTTATTTTCTCAACTGTGTAATTTCCATGATTTATTGTATTTTTTCACTATACTCAAATGTATATTGCATCATACAAACTCATTATTTTATCAAAAAATTGACATGGCATAACATAAATTGTATTTTCATAACGGTTTTTATATTTATTTTGGAACAAAATTATAAACTCACTAAGAACACTTCTATCTTTGTAAATTAATAATTATTTTACAAATTTTTGATTAATATTACAATTTAGAATTATCAATATTATTATTATTATTATTATTTTTCATCCACGGTTTCCACGAGTTTAAACCTAGTTAAATTTATAAAATTATCAACTAATAAAGTTAGATAACTAACACACAAGCACATATAAATTCCCAAATTAATGTGTCTTTGTGTTTTTCTTATTTATTTCTTATTTTATTTATTATGGTCTTTTTGAATAGATATTAAACTAGACATTAAATGCATTTAAATTAGTTTAATGGTCTATATTTCTTCTTACTTTCCTACAAAATTCCCCTTTCTTATGTGATCACACATATATATATATATATATATATATATATATATATATATATATATATATATATATAAAGAGAGAGAGAGGAAGACATACAAGGAGAAAGAGAGATAGAAGTTTAATATAAATAAAAAAAAGAGAAATTAAATATCCTTCTAGCTTTTGCTTATACACATCTTAATCATATGAAATAATGAATGTGATATCTGCTAAATCTCTTTTTTAATATTCGTTTTTTATTTTGATACTTGCATTAATTTAATAAGTATGAAGACATATAAATAAAAAGATAGAAGGATATTTGATTTCTCTAAAAAGAACAAAGAACCAATTTCATGAACACATTTAATACATGTGTATGTACAAGATCATAATTTTAATTTAATCAAAAACTCACTTTAAAAAAACATAACTTTTCTTTTATTGATAAAAAAAAACTGTAACGAATTATATTTGGATGGACTAAATTTACATATGAATTCGAATAAACATTCAAATTCACATGCTAATATGAGTAGATTCAAATTTGAATATAAGTAAATTAATTTAATTTTTTTTACCATTTCATAGTTTTAATAATTTATGAAGTAAATTATTTAGAGTTATACATAAAATTTACTCAAATCAAATGTAAATATGAATATTTATTCTTCAATATGTCCACATCAATAATCATAGACAATTGAGATTCTATGAATGAATTAATATATTAAAAATGTTTTTCTCTAGTTTTGATTTACACGCGTGAATGTAACTCAAACTAAAATTTTGATTTTTTTTAAGATAAGTATGAATATTTTATTATCGAGGACAAAAAGTATGAATTTAAATATATACAGTTATTTTTTCTGATAAAAAATAAGTACAAAATTAAAAAACAAAAGATATATTTTCATTTCATTATAATCTTGTGTGTGTGTATATATATTAACAAAATCATCTCTGCATATCACCCTAGGCCGAAACTTCATTGCTACACGCAAATTTAAACCCTTCACTGCAAAGTCAGTTTCGTTTCCCCATTTTTCGATTCTGTTTACGTCGGAGCTCTGCCGTCCTCCGCCACAAAGGTCATGGGGACGTCCTTAATTCTTTCAGATCTCGGCACTGAAATCATAATTCCAGTTTGCGCTCTCGTCGGAATCGTTTTCTCTCTCTTCCAGTGGTTTCTCGTCTCCAAAGTTAAGCTGTCGCTGGATGGACCAGGCGGCAAGAATGCGTTCACGGAATCGTTGATTGAGGAAGAAGAAGGAATCAATGACCACAACGTCGTTCAGAAATGTGCTGAAATTCAGAACGCTATCTCTGAAGGTAATTTATAGTTCTTAGATTTCTATAGTTTGTAAAATTATATATGTAGTTATAAATCCTTCAAATTTTATCCGTATAATTCAGATATTCTGTATTATATAAGTAGTTTTCAGTCATCCATAAGTTAAAGTTTGCTTGTTCTTATTTGTTTTATGTTTTTTTGATTCCGTAATTGGAATATTCTTCATGTTCTCTGTTTCTTTTATACCAGTAAGATAATAACTCTATCCGTGAATTTGATGCTGTGGATTTGCTATTTAACTTCAATATTGTTGATATTATATGTTTATATTCCTGTATTTTTCATCACGAATTGTAACATATAATCGATTACGAACTGTAACATATAATCGATTAATTCAATTTCCATGAAGCTGGTTTAACTTGAAGCTTATTTTGTCTGCTTAGCCTTATAAACAGTATTCTTAATTAGTAATAGTAGTGGTTGTTTGATTAATTCAACTATATCTTCCATCATAAACATGTGTTTCTTGAGTTAAACATGTAATATGATCAACTATGTCAACATGTTAGTTCTTTAATCGTGCTATTTGACTGTTTATCCATTTCTATTGAATTTTCCTTTTGTTATGCACATCTTCACAATTCCTCATCCGATTCCATTGTAGATCTAATTTGACAAGTATATTTCATGATATTGCAGGAGCAACCTCTTTCCTATTGACTGAATACAAATATGTTGGTATTTTCATGGTTGTTTTTGCTTTCATAATCTTTTTATTTCTTGGCTCTGTTGATGGATTTAGTACAAGTAGTCAACCATGTACATACAACATCACCAAGCAATGCAAGCCTGCTCTTTTCACAGCCATCTTCAGCACTGTATCCTTTATCCTAGGGGCTGTAACCTCTGTTATCTCTGGTTTTCTTGGAATGAAAAATTGCCACATATGCAAATGCCAGAACTACCCTTGAGGCAAGAAAAGGTGTTGGAAAGGCTTTCATTGTTGCATTCCGTTCTGGAGCTGTCATGGGATTCCTCCTAGCTGCAAATGGTCTTCTTGTGTTGTATATCACCATCAATTTGTTCAAGATTTACTATGGTGATGATTGGGAAGGGCTTTTTGAAGCCATAACTGGTTATGGACTTGGTGGTTCTTCAATGGCTCTTTTTTGGTAGAGTTGCTGGTGGTATTTATACAAAAGCTGCTGATGTTGGAGCTGATCTTGTTGGCAAGGTTGAGAGGAACATTCCAGAAGACGATCCAAGAAATCCAGCTGTAAACATTTCTTTTTTCACTTAATACAACACTCAGTGGTTGTTTCTCTTTATGAGCTTAATCTGTATAAAAAGGGAAGCTAAGAGTGATAGTTTGTTTGATGCAGGTGATTGCTGACAATGTTGGAGACAATGTTGGGGACATTGCTGGAATGGGATCTGATCTTTTTGGATCATATGCTGAGTCATCATGTGCTGCTCTTGTTGTTGCTTCCATTTCTTCATTTGGAAACAACCATGAGTTCACTTCAATGATGTACCCTCTTCTTATCAGCTCTGTGGGCATTCTTGTGTGTCTTCTCACCACTTTGTTTGCTACTGACTTTTTTGAAGTCAAAACTGTGAAAGAAATCGAACCTGCTTTGAAAAACCAGCTCATTATTTCAACTATTTTGATGACAATTGGTATTGCACTTGTTAGTTGGATTGCCCTTCCTTCCTCCTTCACCATCTTCAATTTTGGAGTCCAGAAAGAAGTTAAAAACTGGTAAGCTCCATGTTTCACTTCAGTTGGTAAATTTACTTGGTGTGTGTTTGGTTTTGAGGGATTAAAAGGAATTGGAATCTTGAATTCCATTCCGTGGTGTGTCAACGGAATTGAATTCTGGGAGATTCCTTTAAATCCATGTTTGAGGGATTTATAAACCAAACATAAAATTTCCCTTGTAAACCTATGGGTTAATTTCAAAAAAAGACGTTATATTTTGTGTTTTTTCCAGATTAAACTTCAAATTTACTTTTTGCCTGAAAAAGACCTTGTATTTTTTCATTTTTTCCGAAAAAGCCCTCAACTTTGTATTTTTTTTTTTTTTCTGAAAAAACCCTCAACCTTCTAAATGCTTCCAAATAAACCCTCAACTTTTTTAGTTTTTCTCTAAAAATCCTCATGTTTTACAATTTTTTTTGAAAAAAAAATGACTAAAAGGGCCCAATCGGAAAAAAATGAAAAAAATACAAGGTCTTTTTCAGGCAAAAAATAAATTTGAGGTTTAATCCGGAAAAAACACAAAATATAAGGCATTTTTTGAGATTAACCCTAAACCTATTAAAAAAACTACATTCCAATTTCTTTAATAGATTTATAAACCAAACAGAAAATAGTAAAGTAATGTGATTGAATTCCATTCCATTCCCTGTCAACCAAACACGTGACAAAATACAATTACTTCTTCATTTCTATTAAAAGACCGAATTGCCCTTGTAAACCTGTTAAAAAACTACATTACAGAAAATAGTAAAGTAATGTGATTGAATTCCATTCCATTTCCTGTCAACCAAACACATGACAAATTACAATTGCTTTGACATATACCATTTCTTCCAAAAACAAGATGTAAATGAAAAGGGTATTAATGGTATTTTATCATCATTCATAAACTCACCGAGTTCCACTTGCAGGCAATTGTTCTTATGTGTATGTGTTGGTTTATGGGCTGGCCTTATAATTGGATTTGTAACAGAGTACTACACTAGCAATGCTTACAGGTAAACCTTTATTATTTTTAATTTATAAACTCTTCTTTTCCAACTAACTCCATTCCATCTTCTAGCCCTGTGCAAGATGTTGCTGATTCTTGCCGAACTGGAGCTGCAACAAATGTCATTTTTGGCCTTGCTTTAGGATACAAATCAGTCATCATCCCAATCTTTGCAATAGCAATTAGTATCTTTGTTAGTTTCACTTTCGCCGCCATGTATGGAGTTGCTGTTGCCGCCCTCGGAATGTTGAGCACCATCGCCACCGGATTAGCCATTGATGCGTACGGTCCCATTAGTGACAATGCCGGCGGCATAGCCGAAATGGCCGGAATGAGCCACCGGATTCGTGAACGAACCGACGCCCTTGATGCCGCCGGAAACACCACCGCCGCCATCGGAAAGGTACACTGCTTTCTAAAACCCAATGTTCCTTATGGCGAGGCTGAAAAGAAAGACAGGCTTTAGCACCATAAGGTTGTGTTTGGCAGACTAGCTGGTAGAAGGCCATGTTTGGCGCGCCACAGCTAGCTGATAAGCTAACTTATTTTTTTGAGCTTTTTTAAGTTGTCATGTTTGGCATGCCAAAAAGTAGCTTATAAACTAGCGTTTTAAAAAGCTAGTTAGACTAGCTTGTCGTGAGCTTTTTTAAAACTTTCCAAATATACCCCTTAATTAATTATAGAAAACATATATTTTTAAATGCCCTTTTATGTCTTTTCATAACTTTCTGCTAGCTTATCAACTACTTTTACCAAACATTATTTTTTAGTAGCTAACTTTTCAGCTATCAATTGACTTTTGAACTAACAGGGTTTTTCAGCTAATAGCTAGCTTTTTAGCTATTAAGCCATACATAGCCAAAGTAATAACATCTAAAAAGCTAGTTGGTAACTGATAAAGTAATAACATCTGAAAAGCTAGCTGGCAGTTGATAAAGTAATAAAATTTGGTAAAAAACAAGCTGATAAGCCAGATGACATAAAAGGACAGGTAGAAAACTTATGTAAGAGTATATTTGGAAAACTTGTGGAAAAAGCCAAATGAGCTTATCAATAACCTATCTCAACTTAGGGGATAATTGTTGATTGAGTCAGATCTAGCCTCTTACCTGACTCAATAAGAGGCATATCAATTGTGGTATCAAATAGTTTGAATCTGACCTAACCTCTTGCCATCTAGTAAGAGGCATATCAAACAGTCTGTTAGCTTATAAGCTACTTCAGCAGTCTCACCAAGCACTAGACTACAATTCTAAATTGCTTCTATATCTGTATCTTTTCCTAGGGTTTTGCGATAGGGTCTGCAGCGCTCGTGTCCCTAGCGCTTTTTGGTGCGTTTGTGAGCAGGGCGGAGATCACAACCGTAGACGTGTTGACTCCCAAAGTCTTTATAGGCTTAATTGTGGGGGCCATGCTTCCGTACTGGTTTTCCGCTATGACAATGAAGAGTGTGGGAAGTGCGGCTCTTAAGATGGTTGAAGAAGTGAGGAGACAATTCAATACAATTCCCGGGTTAATGGAAGGTACCGCTAAGCCTGATTACGCGACATGTGTCAAGATCTCAACGGACGCTTCCATCAAAGAGATGATTCCTCCGGGTGCTCTTGTCATGTTGACTCCTCTTATTGTTGGGTATTTCTTCGGTGTGGAAACACTCTCTGGTGTTCTTGCTGGATCTCTTGTCTCTGGCGTACAGGTAATTAAGTTTATTTGCTTAAATTCCATTTTATTAATTTACAAGGATATATTGTTTCTCACTTTGTAAAATGTAGATTGCTATTTCTGCATCCAACACGGGTGGGGCTTGGGACAATGCGAAGAAATATATCGAGGTATATACTGTATAATAATTAATAAACATTTTTTTTATTGTTTCTTTTTGGATTTTTGATTATTTGATTATTTGATTATTACAACTTTATTTAGGCGGGTGCATCTGAGCATGCGAGGTCACTTGGACCGAAAGGGTCGGACCCACACAAGGCGGCTGTGATTGGGGACACTGTGGGGGACCCGCTAAAGGATACCTCTGGTCCATCTCTTAATATTCTTATTAAGCTCATGGCTGTTGAATCACTTGTGTTTGCTCCATTTTTTGCTGCACATGGAGGTCTTCTCTTCAAGATTTTCTAAGCTTGAAAATTTTAGTAACTTTATCGCTTTTGTTGCATCTAACTGTTGTTTTGGTCATTTTAGTGTATTTTTGGTGCTTTTAATTTTCTCGAAATATGTCCGATTTAAAGGTTTGATCAACAATTAGAAAATTTTCCTAAAATATGTGTGATTCGGTTAAAAAAGTGTTGTACTTATCACACTTATTGGTAAATCTAAATGGAACACAGAAAAATTTGCTCCTAGTATTTTATCTAAATGGTATGCGATTATCCTGATTCAGTATAAAATTTTTGTATCACTGTTATGGATTGGTGAAATAATATTATTCAATAGTAGATGGTCAATAATAGTACACCTTTAGCAGTATTCATTGATTAAGATAAAATAAAATGATCCCACTTGTAATGTTACGTGTATTGAATTGATTGTTAAATAATATAACGCCTGATTATCTTAGTTCAATCAGAAAGAAAGATATAAACCTTATATGGGCGGATGAATAGCTTTATCGAGTAGTAGACACTAGATATGCATCACAATTAGTAAAATTAACAGAAAACTTCACATAACCTAAATTTTAGTGTCAATCATTTTTCTCTATTTCCTCTTAAGAGTAAAGCTGACATTTTATAGCTGTCTTGTATGTCCAAGGGTTAATGACTTGTAAATGTAATGTATTTTGCATCCTATGCAAATTTAATTATTGAAATCTTTTTTTTTTACACGATTTACATTGAGGTAGCTTGCGTGGAAATTTCAGAATGGTACTCTTTTGGCTGATCAAAGAGTTAGACATAATATGTTAACCTATAGTTTGGTTGGCTATTCTTATAATTATTATGTGTATAGGAATAAAAAAGTTAGTGTTAGTCGGTTGTCTTGGCTTTTAAACCCTATTTTGACTATTGTGTTGTAATTGGAGTCTGTTAGACCAACTCCAACCTTACCACTAAAAAGTACACTATTTTTGTGGAAAACTAACACCAAAATTTATTTTAACTCCAACCACACACTAAAAAATTACACTAAAATATATTTTAATATTATAAAATATAAAACAATAATTATACAAACCAAAAAGCAAATAAAATAACCATTTTAAAGGAAAAAGTGATTTGGTGTTATGAATAGTGGCCTTTATATATAGAGGCCATATTTCTTCCCACAAAAATAAAGGCCATTTTTAGTGGTTGATTGGAGTATTTTTGACCTCTATAACACAAAAATAGAGGTCCATTGGAGATGCTCTTAGCATTACACCAACTCCAACCAACCACTAAAACACAATTATAAAGGCCAATAAAGTGGTGTTCTCATTCCAATCAACCTTTAAAAAACACCATTTTAGTTTTTGGGGTAACTTCACACACCAAATATGAAGGCCAAACTACTTGGCCTCTAAAAATCACAACTTTAATGATTGGTTGGAATGCAAACACTATTTTAGTGTTAACAAATCACCATTTTAGTGATTTATAGTTGGAGTTGCTCTTATGCTAACCTTTTTATATTAATCATTTAGTTATTAAAAAAATGTAGGGAAGGTAGAAAGATTATAAGATGTAAGGGTGCGTTTGGTTGTGGATAATTTTCCAGTTTTCTAGGAAAATTTTCCAAGAAAAACGGAAATTTTGAAAACGTGTTTGGTTCGTTCAGTTTTCCAAAGTTTTCTAAGAAAATTAAAAATTTTCAGTTTTCCAAATTATATGTAAATTAGAAAAGTGATTTTTACAGTTTTCCAAAGTTTTCCAAATTTCTAAGATGAAAAATGAAAACTCCACCCGTTCCAACCAAACGCGTTTTCATTGGAAATTGAAAATGAAAACTCAACCCTATTTTCTGAAAACATTTTCATAGAAAATAAAAACAGTTTTCCACAACCAAACGCACACTAAGGTTGCGTTTGGTTGTGAAAATTTTTCTAGTTTTCTAGTAAATTTTTCCAAGAAAAACGAAAAATTTGAAAACTCGTTTGGTTCATTCAGTTTTCCAAAGTTTTTTAAGAAAATGAAAATTTCCAGTTTTCCAAATTGTATGTAAATTGGAAAAGCGTGTTTTACAGTTTTCCAAATTTCTAAGCTGGAAAATGAAAACTCCACCGCTTCCAACCAAACGCGTTTTCTAAAATTTTCATTGAAAACTGAAAATGAAAACTCAACTCTATTTTCTGAAAATATTTTCTTAGAAAATGAAAACAGTTTTCCACAACCAAATGCACCCTAAGTAACTTGTTGAAACATGAAAGATATTTAAGATGATCAAACTTCGGTGTTACATTCAAAACTCTATTAAGGGATTATGGTGATCCTACATTAGTGTTGCATACAAAACTCTATTTAGCTTGTGGAAGCATGAAAGAGATTTGAGGTGATCCCATTTTGATGTTACTTTCAAAACTCTATTAATCTGTCTTTTAAATATGGATTTGAGGTGATCCCATTTTGATGTTACTTTCAAATCGTATATTTTCATGTTGAGCTTGTGTCAAATTGGCGTGTTTAAAGTTTAGAACTTGTAAATATGCAGTGTTGTTTCAGATTGAAACACTAAATATGTTGAAAGAGTTAGATACGTGGAAATGATAAAGTGAAAATCGTGAAGGATTATTAGTTTGGTAGGTGAAGAGGCAAAACTTACAATAAGTTTAGAAGAGGTAAGTCACATCGAAGGGGAAGTAACTGAATGAGATTGTGAAGTATTAGATAAAAAACCTTATATTTTGATTTTTTTTCTTTTTAGACCTAAAACTTTTAGTTTTTTCCAAAAAAGACCCATAGTTTACCGGAAACTTGTTATTTCGGACCCTAACAGGTCACCAACAGGTAAACTAACTGATTTTTTTCATAAAAGACCCTACATTTTGTATTTTTTTTCCGGTTTAGACCTAAAATGTGTGTTTTTTTTTTCAAATTAATCTCAAATACTATTGTTTTTGCTTTATCAAGTTGTCTCCATGAAATGTTATGTGCTCATTAAAAGCCGTATTTCATTGGATTTGGATGATCATTTCGATTCTCTGTTGGAGTTATGTCATTTGTCTAAATTTTTTATGGTTCAAAGAATCAAAAATTCGAACCCTCCTCGCTATGGTCCTAAGTAACATCTATGAACTAAATTTGTACATTTCTCATTAACTAGACATATCGGGGATTAAGACTCAATAATAAAAGATTTAAAAATGCATCATTTATAACAACTTTCTAGAAAACATTTATCGATGAAGTAGTGACGTTGTTAATGTAATATAATTTAATTAAAACTTCATTTTAAAATAATTTAGATGAGGTGAGAATAAAAATTAAAGAATAGAGAGAGTACCCTTTCAGAAACATCATGATATGATCAAAACAGGTAAATCACCTACACTCTTCGAGTGAGTGCCGACAGAAGAAAGAGAGAAGATGATGACTTAATTTTCCAAAACCTTTATTAACAAAACTAGTCTACCTCTCTAATAAAAGAATCCTTTATAGCCACGTGTCGCTTTTTCTAAACCCATTAAATGCCACATATCATTCTCATATGATCCCTCAATTTTTATTTTCTGCTCATATTCATTATCTCAATCTCAATTTGGATACAAGTCATATCCCGAAAAATCAGCTAACAAATTTGAATTTCATTTATATTAGTTATTAAAAAAACGTAGAATCCTAATTTCAAATTTAAACAAAGTTAGAGTAAGGTTTTTAGCATTGCCTATGACGGCTGTCTTGTTGTATACAATATAACCTAAAAATGCAACCACGAGTCTCTAAAAATATCGTTTTTGTCGAGTCAATAAAATACAAAGCGCTTGAAAAGAAGGTACTTCCATAACTATGTTTAAGAAAATATTTCCTTTTTAAATTTTAGTGCTTAATAATAAGTTAACGAGTTAAACGAGTTATTCATTCCCATCGTCGCCTCCACATCCATTTTCTTCACAGACACTGGTTTTCATCTCTCATTCCCCATCGATTTCATCTGCTTATTTCTCCATTCTCCCACCAGATCAAAAATCAAATTGATTTTGATACATCCATTTTCTCACAACACCATAACCAAATCGAAATAAAAAAGGGACCTTTTCTTCGTGGGTACCGTTTAATTTGGTGATTTGCCCACATCAGTACCTTCGTCGGAAAATGCTTTCCATTTCTCCGACGATATCTAAATTCTCCAATCTTTCCGACCTCCGCCACCTCAATCGCGGCCGATACAGCCGCCACTCTCTATCCCATCTTGTGCCGCCGCCGCCGTCGACTCATATCCGGAACACCAAAACCCTACGTCTCCGACATAATTTCAGAATCTCCGCCATAGACGCCGCTCAACCCTTTGACTACGAATCCAAAATCTCTGACCACATTGCCAAATCCAAAACCCTAAAAATTGCCATTGTAGGGTTCGGCAACTTCGGCCAATTCCTTGCAAAAACCCTAGTCCGTCAAGGCCACACCGTCCTTGCACACTCTCGCACCGATTACTCCGCCGTCGCCGCCGAGATTGGCGTCTCTTTCTACTCTAACGCCGATGACATCTGCGAAGAACACCCCGAGGTAATCCTCCTCTGCACATCAATCCTCTCAACTGACAAGGTACTCCGTTCATTACCATTACAAAGGTTAAAACGCAGCACATTATTTGTAGACGTTTTATCTGTCAAAGAGTTCGCTAAAGATCTATTCTTGCAAATACTGCCATTAGATTTCGATATTCTGTGTACACATCCAATGTTTGGACCCGAAAGTGGTAAAAACAGCTGGAAAGATCTTCCATTTGTGTACGACAAAGTTAGAATCGGTCGTGATGAATCTAGGGTTTCCCGCTGTGAAAAGTTTCTTGATTCGTTCGCAAGAGAAGGGTGTATAATGAAGGAGATGACATGTGCAGAGCATGATCAACATGCAGCAGAATCTCAATTCATAACACATACAGTTGGAAGGATCTTGGAAAAGCTTGATTTGGATAGTACTCCGATTAACACAAAAGGGTATGAAAGATTGTTGGATTTAGTTGAGAACACATCGAGTGATAGCTTTGAGTTGTATTATGGGTTGTTTATGTATAATAAGAATGCAATGGAGCAATTGGAGAGGTTGGATTTAGCTTTTGAATCTTTGAAAAAAGAGTTGTTTGGGCATTTACATGAGGTTTTGAGGAAGCAATTGTTTGGGACAAAGGAAAGATCTTTAGGGCTTTTACAAGAACCTCGAGCTTTGTCAAAGCTTCCTCCTAATGGAAATGGATCTTCTCTTCCACCTCAATCAGATTCTGCTAATTAATCGAGGATAGCACAAAAGAGTTTCCAGTTCATGGTATGTTTATCCTAGTTCTAGGGTTTGATTGTATGTTAAATGTCTAAAATACCCTTAGGTAGAGAAAAATAAAGAAATCATGTGGACTTAAAATTATACAACAACTTAATCACAAATATGACCAAAGTGGTATACTGGTATGGTGTATTTTTGATCCCTTACACAAAATGACCATTAATTAATTCATATCTTGCAAAATACACATTCAAATGTTATAAAATAATGAAATACACATTTGTAATTTGAAAAATCTGTTTATATACTCAGAAATATATGATTTTTCTTTGAGTTTGTAGAGTAAATTACAATTTTTGTCCCTGATTTTTGCAATTTTGGTCCTTATTTATGATTTTTGTAATGTTTTTGGTCCCTGTTCCTAGTAAATTAACTATGTGTTAATAGCAATTCCATAATTTGCAATGGGCACATTGTTAAATTGCTTGCCATTCTTTGTAATTATTAAAAAAATGGTGATTTTGATGAATACACCATCATGGTCATTTTTGTGATTATAACTACTATTCATGATATGATAATACACAATTAGGTGCTTTTAACTTGAAACTTCTTTAAAATGAAATGTTGCAATCTTTTCGACTATTTGTTCATGTTGTTACACAAATGGTTTCTTACATTTTTGTTTTTAGTATGAAGTCTTTATTTGCTAATGTTGGTGTTGTGTGCTTTCTTTTGAAGGTGAAGAGCATTTTCTATGTTGTGTGATGTGTTGTATTGCTTATGAGTCAAATGGGGAAGGAGACAACAATCTCAATGCATATTCATATTTCCTCACTTGTATGAAGCTCCAATGTTTGTTATTTTGTTTTTGAGTTTTTGCTATTAGAAAAGATTGCCATAGTAGGTTGTGTAACTTGTGTCATTTGCTCCATTTTTGTTCGATTTATTCATATTTTCTATGATTTGTGTCAATGGGGTTCCTAGCAAATTGAAAAATGAAGGGATGACTTGAAAGGGTAACGAAATTTTAATTTTGTTCATATTTAGTCTTTGAACCTTTTGTTGTATCTGATTTATCCATGAATATTATTTGAAATTGTTTATATTTTACCCTTATAACTGTCTACAACCGGTAATAAAAATATGAACAATTTTGAATAATTCATGGGTAAATCAAACACAAACAAAAGTATAGTAACTAAATATGAACTAAGTTGAAATATATCATATGTTCTCATTTGTTTTAAACCATATCAACCATGTTAAGTGAGTGTTCAAATTTATTGCAAACATGAATATTGTGGATATATATTTTAACATATACAATTTATTAATCATAAATTTTAAACATCACAATAATCATTATGTCGACACCTCATATGTATTATCATGTTGAGTATTCTAATATTTCATTAATCATAGATACACTACTCTTGTTGTGTTACTTGTAACATATAACGTTATACTAGCTATGTTAGTGCTTTTAAAGATATGTTAGTTCCTTTAAAGAAAAAAAAGATATAAAGATGTGATAAAATGACCATACCAACATTAAAATAAAGTTAATGTTACTCAAATATTTGCAACATGTAACATGTTGCTCTTAACATATACTTCTTGTTAGAAATAAAAAGATATAATAAAGATGTGATAAAATGATCATTACCAACATTATAATAAAATTAATTTTACTCAAATATTTGCACCATGTAACATGTTGTTCTAAAATATACTTCTTATTAGAAAATCAAATGCTACAAATGTGAGGCCAATGTTTGCAACAAATTTAAACACTCACTTGACAAAACAAGGTTGAAATTATTTATAATAAATAGGGGCATAAGATATTTGACAATTTGATCATAACGTATACAAAAATCGGTTAAAGATAAGTATTTTACCAGAAAATAGAAAATATGAATTTCTCAAGTTTTATAACAACTTTTATGCAACCATAAGAAAAGTTTTATATTGAACGTGACAATAAAAAAAAAGGATAATGACTTGAAATTATAACAAACATTTAAATTTGTACACATTTACTTACTGGTTTTTTTTCATGGTAGATAAACTTGGTAAAACGTGTGTATCGTATATATCAATAATACCGATTACATCATATATATATATATATATATATATATATATATATATATATATATATATATATACACACACACACACACACACACTTTGTATCCTCTAACTACTAGCTATATAATAAACTATCTAATATTCCCCCGCAAGTTAAGGTCGGGTAACGAGCTGAAGCTTGGAATGTAAATCGGTAAATCGTTGATATAATAACAACTTGGTAAAAATGTATGCAATCTGATCATGTGTAGAAATAAATTGAACATTAAGTTTTCCTTTGTCAACCTTGTCTCTAACAAAGTGAGAATCAACCTTCACATGCTTTGTACGCGCATGAAAGACAAGATTTGCTGATAAGTAGGTAACACCCAAATTGTCACACCACAAAACTAGAACTAATGTTTTAAAAACTTTAAGTTCTCGAAGAAGAGCTTCCAACCATGTGAGTTCAGCCACTGTGTCTGCTAAAGCCTTGTACTTAGACTCAGTTGATGACCTAGAGATAGTCCGTTGTTTTCTAGCTGACCAGAAAATGAGATTATTTCCAAGGTAGATGTCATATTCCCCCGTGGATCGACGATCATCAGGACAACCAGCCCAGTCTGCATCCGAAAAAGCATTTATAAAATAAGCATTAGTATAGGCATGAAGATGTTGGGTTTTGAGCATTCTAACACTCCTAAGTGTACATGCAACCCTAATACCTTGGATCTATGTTTTCTCTATTATACATACAAATATGAACTTTCCAAGGTATTCATCCTAACTAGCATAATAACATTGATTCATATGAATATATCAAGTTAGAATTACATACCTCTTTGATGTAGAATGATTTCATGAAGCTTGAGTGCCTAGTGCCCCAAGTGTGACACCTCAAATGGTTCACACAACACCAAATACACTTGGAATAACTTGAGAGAACATACACACTTCATGCAAATCGGCTAGCCCTTTCTATCACACATAGTCACCGATTTTGTCAACAATATGATGCTTATATAGTTAGTGACAATTAGGGTAAACCCTAATTGTCATGGCTTTCCATTTCCTTGGATCCATGGGTTCAAATACTCCATGGAGCATCCATGGAGTATCTTATGGGTTTTAGCCCAACTTGACAATCCATGGAGCATTAGCCCACTATACAAGTATGGGTGATTTACACAATCAACCCATATATTTAATTAGTCTTCTTTTGATCACTTAATTAATTCCAAACTAATTCTTGATCAATACTAATTAAATAATCTTATTAATATATTATAACTTATAATATATTAACAAACCTTAAGTGTTATTTCTCTCATTATAGTCTATCCAAATGCATGATGCCATGCAACCCAAATGAACCATGCCGGGTCGGGTCAAGTCTTACCAATTATAGTTATGGACTTAGACATTAATCCAACAGAAGAATGGACCCATAATTATGCTGGATTAGAAGGCCATAATGAGACGTCTCTTGAAGATATATGTGGATCTGTTTTACAGCAGACCAATGATTCTCAGTAGGAGAGTGCATAAACTGGCAGACTTTGTTGATTGCGAAGGTGATATCGAGACCAGACAAGGTAACATATTGCAAAGCAGCAACAATCTGCCTATAACGAACCGAATCATCAAATAAAGGACTATCACCAAGAATAATATTGCAAACGTGTGACTAAGACTTTTGATGATATGATCAATAGTAAGAGAATTATTTCCGGTGAGAATAATATCATCAACATATACCAACATATATAAAAGAACCCCCTTAGATGAGTAGACAAAGAGAGATGTATCAGTGACTGACGCTTTAAAGACAAGAGAAAGTTAGGCTTTTGTTAAACGATGATACCATGACGAGGTGCCTGTTTGAGCCCATACAGACACTTGTGAAGTAGACAAAGATGATCCGGTTTAGTAGGATCAGTAAAACCTTATGGCTGGCGCAAATAGACTGTCTCTTTTAGCTCACCATGTAGAAAAGCATTTTGCACATGTAACTGTCGAAGTGTCCACTATTGTGTAACTGCAAGACATAAACCTGTACAAATAGTAGTAGACGTTACAATAGGGTTGAAAGTTTCATGAAAATCAACACCATGTTGTTGCTTGAACCCTTTAGCAACCAAACGTGCTTTGTACCGAGTGGCAACACACGTTTGATCCCGTTTGAGTTTGTATACCCATTTACAATCAACTATGTTGGCATTAGGAAGAGGCGGAACGAGAGACCATGTAGCATTATGCATGAGGGCTGAATATTCTTCAGCCATGGCAGCCCGCCATTTTGGTGATTTATTAACAATGACAAAGTTCGTAGGCTCAGTATCGGAGACATCTGAATTAGTGGTGTAAGCTAATGGATCATAGGAGACTCGTTGTTTAGGATGCTGTCTCAAATTAGAAGTGGTGGGGTCAGGTGGTGGTGATCATGAATTTAGGAAGGGAAAACTGTCTTCAATGAATCGAACATGTCTAGCAATATAAATGTGATTAGTTGTTGGATCTAGACACCTGTAACCACGATGTTCTGTGTTATAATCAAGAAAAACATAAGGAGTAGAACGAAATTCCATTTTGTGTTTATTGTAGGGTCGTAGATGAGGAAAGCACAAATAGCCAAACATACGTAAGAATGAAAAATACAGTTTATGGGACAAAGCATGCTCAAGTGGTGGGATATTTGAAGAGGTACGAGTGGGCATGTGATTTATGAGATAAACAACTATGTCATAAGCAAAATGCCAAAATAGTGAGGGTACCCATGATTGAGCAAGTAAGATGAGACCCATTTCTACCATATGTCAATGGCGACGTTCTACAAAGCTATTGTTCTCACTTGTATGTGGACATGAATGTTGATGAATAACACCAAGTGGAGAAAAGAAAATTGGAAGGGCCCAAAATTCTCCACCCCAATCTAT